ACCCTAATATAAGATTTTTGGTTCCGCCACTGGATCTATGAAAATAATGAGACGTATGTTTAACTATGAATATCGCTGTAATTATGTATTATTAAAAGTAAAGATGGCATTGGGCCCGGCCGGCCTGAAGCCCAGCATGAAAAAAGCACGGCACGACATGGTACTGTGTGTGTGGGTCGTGGGTCGGGCATGGGCCGCCTTTATTTGGGAGAAGTTCAATAAGGCATGACAAAGCATGCTAAAATCAATGTAATTTTTCTTAGGCACGCAAGCCCGGCACGGCTCGACACGATGGCACGTGGGCCTGGGCCGTGTACGGGCCAACCTTTTGAAAACTTCGGCTCGACACGAAGCTTGTGGGCCGAGCCATGGGGCGGGCCTAACTAATCTAAAAGCACGTGGGCTTGACACGAGACACGACCCGACATGACCCAGAGCCATATTTAATTAAAAGGGATTGATAATTATTTGAAAACTTATTTAAGATTTTTATTTTTTTGAATATTTTAACAAAAGACTAAATTAGACTTGGATATTAGAGGTTTGTGGTTGAAACTTGAAAGTTACATACCCCTTTGGTTCCACAATAATCATGCATCCACAATAATTGACACACTTGACTTTTTTTTACTATTCATTTATTCATGTATCAATTTTGACTATAGTTTAGTTTTTTTTTTTTTTTTTTTTTTTTTTTTTTAACGAATAAATTAATAGCAAATTTCATCATTTAAATTTTTTTAAGATGTGTATTAATGTAAATTTTCATAAATTTTATTACATATTCTCCCTCTGTTTCATTTTGTTGTTCCTATTTTGATTTTACATGTTCTTCCAGACTTAAATTTGAGTATTAACATCTTTTACTATGTATTAACAAAACTTATAAAAATTGAATAATAAAACCATACATTGAGATGAATATAACAATATCTCACATAACTATATATACTAAATATATATTAATGAGAAATTTTTGTTCAAAGTTCTTAGAAATGGCCATGAAAAGTATAAAAAAAATAAAAAATAAAATAAAATATATGAACAATAAAAAGAAACAAAGTGAGTAATTACTTATACAATATTAGGGTCAAAATTGTGCATTGGGAAAATAATTGACAAGATTGACTATGTGATCAATAATTATGAAACAAATGCAGTAGAATACAAATCCTCTAATAGCATATTCCCTCCGTCCTTAAAAATTTCTCTTGTTTTTCGTAATGCTTTTTTTTTCCCTTGAAAATGTATGTTACTGAACCTTGTGACATTGTTATCACGAACATGTAATGGTTTATGTAATGAATAAGTTTGATGTTTGGTTTGTTATGATTGAGCTAGTACATTTCTATAAATGTCCATATTAACCAGATTTAAGAAATTATAATCTTGTTCCACAAAATATAACAAGCGCTTTTAAGCTAACACAAATATGCAACGGTGCACATCCAAGTCCAACATGAGTATACAAATAAAATGCTCACTAGTGATTAGTGGATAAGTAAAGGCTATAGAGATCTATATACTACGTATATTACTCCCATGTAATTGGATCAATGGAAGCTCTATTTATTGGGTTACTTTCTAGTCACATATAGGATTGATCTACAATTATATTGTTTGCCCACGGAATAAATTTTATCTTTTTTCGCGAAATTTATTTGACTAGAGCACTTATTCTAGTCATTGGGCATAACTTACCTTTCTGCCATGATGCGAAATAATTGACATGAGAGTCAATTATGCTCAAAATTGCTTTCATTGTGTAATGTTTTTAGGGTTATGACTTGTGAAGAATTTTAATTTTTTATGAGGAAACAAGTAAACACATCAAAGATTTACACTTGATTCACTAAACACAATATTTTATAAAAGCAAGGGTTTCAAGCTCAATCTCACACAAATTTTGTTAAGATTGAAAAGCAAATCACAATGATCTGAGATTCCTCACAAAGATGCAAGGGAAGAAAGAAAGTTGTCATTCAAAAATTAAATTTGGCATCAGTTTTTGTACAAGGGTTTTCTTCTCCTTTTATATATGAAGCCAACAAAACCTACCAGCTTAAACTTAAAACATAACTAAAAAAAAACGTCCAAAACGAGAATACAAAATACGAGCTAATTAAAAAGTAAACCGGAGCTGCCTACAAGTTTGAGTGAAACATGGGTCGATTCGTGCAACATAGCCTGAAACACTTAACCTCTTTCGGATCACTTATAAGTGATAACTTCTTCTTTTCTCTCTCAAATAGGAACATATAACCTATTGACAAAAATCACTTGGACTCTACTTTCATATCCAAGAGATCATTTTGATTTATTTTGTAATGAAAATGATATTTTTGTTTGAAGGTGAGTAATCCATTTTTGAACAAGTACTAGCTAGCTTTTTTGTATTCACCATGTTTCCTTGTCAAACCATCAAACGCAATCTCAAGAAAAAAAAATTGTAACAACTCGCTTTTTCTTACAAGCTTTCAAGGAATGATTACTTCTAAACTGTTTGATATAAAGAGACTTTGACCTTAATTAATTACAAATTAAATACAAACACAAGCCTGAAATTACAAACTTAATTCAAGATTACATTCCTCGAACCAATAGCAATCAAAAGATTATTCTAATGTAGTCTTATGACTTTTGACTACCACAATTTTTTAAAATGGACGGTTGAGTTTATTTGATTATTTATTTTTAATTAGTAATTTTAATTAAAAATAATTTTTTAATTATTTTAAATATATTTTTATCTTCCAGAAATTATTTTTTAATATTTTCAAATTCTGAAAATAAAAAATATATATAAAATAATTAAAAAAATAATTTTAAAATAAAATTACTAATTAAAGATAAATTAAAAAAAACAAACAATTTCAGCCGTCCATTTTTAAAAAAAAGTCAAAAGTCACAAGACTACATTAGAATTTTCAAGCAATCAAAATTATTAAACTCAACACATTACGTAGAAATCTCTATTGATTCTAGCCTTGAGCATTAACAATCCTGCAAAAACAACTTACAAGTATGTCCACGCCGCGAAATAGGTTAAAAAACAAAATCAAGGTAACCAATATCCACACCGCGTAACCAGATATTTTTTTGGTGGCTCAAAGCATGCTTTCATCACACATGCGCAGGCACTCAATTGATCACACATATATTCACAACTTATAGTACATCACAAGCAAACTCTCAAACATTCATAATCTACACTGGTTCCACGATTCAGTAAAAAGTAATCAATCTCAAAATAACTCGTTCTTGAAATATACTCTCCTTGAGAAATAACTTGTTCTCCAAATTAATACATACAACCATATGATTAAATCAAATCTTCAACCATTTTTAAAAGTTAGGGGAAAGTGGATGAGAAAATAAATGTATACAAATTATGCACATGTAATCTAATAAAAATTCAATCCATGCAATAAAAGACAATTTTCTTTTTGTGTAAACGAGCCAGAAATATGTGAGCCAGCAGAAATTGACCTATGATACTTGTGCATAGAGGTGGGCAGTGTGCCGTGTCGAGCCATCGTGGGCCGTGCCTCGCCGTGCTTGCAACTTGGTGGGTCATGCCGTGCCGGACCACCACTTGGCACACCCCAGCCCACGGCACGGCACGACCCATATGCCTGGCGTGCCGTGCCGAGCCGGGCAGCGGGCCGCCCAGAATTTTTATTTTATTTCAATCGATATATATTTTTTTTGAACAACTTTTAAAAATGAGTATATTTAAATAAAATTATGTTTATGTTTTTGTATTATTATATTATTATTGTTTTTTACTATTCTTATTTTTATTATTATATAGTTCTTTTACTCTTTATTATTATTTATGTTAGTTTTATTATTAATTTATTATTATAACCGTTTTATAGTCGTTTAATGGCTGTTGGAAGCAACGAAATATAGGTGTTTTGCACGGGCCGCGTCTATCGTGTCGCATGCCGTGCTGAAGGGCCATGTCGGCGGGGCGTCCTACGGGCTAAATATCGTGCCGCTCACCGTGCCATGCTCGTGTCGATTTTTCAAAATTATGTTCACGACACGGCCCACTCCTCAGTCACCGTGTCGTGCCGTGCTGCTAACGGGCTTGTGATGGGCCGTGCCACCACCGTACCGTGCTCGTGCTGCCGCAGTCTAGCACAGCCCATGCCCACCTCTACTAGTAGTAGTTGTGCGGTCAATAATTGAAAATAATGTCCATGCATAATCCAAAACTCACCGAAATGTATTTCATGTGGAGTTGGGTTTGTATTAGGCTTATGTTGGGTTGAGCCATTTTATAACCCGACCCATTCACCCATCCGCAACTTTTAATGCCATCATGCATGCAATCATGCCAAATCGGCAAAGTAAGTACTTGAATTTGACACATACTGACACGCATTGATTGACGATAACTGATTAATAATCAGTTTACACACATGGAACCTTCGTCCAAAATAAAGCCCACCCCAAATGATATCAAAACACTGCCTCCTTTTACATTATTGTAAGCAACCACCAGATTCATTGTTTCTCACTCTCCCACTTCACATTCACTCTTCTTCCCAAAAGCCCACATTTACACTGCAACTTCCACTTTTTTTTCAGATCTAATTGCCAAAAAAAAATTACAAAGTATGTAGTTTTTATTGCAAAAAATAATGGGTTGATTTATATTTTGAGTAACAATGATGGATTTTGCTTGGTTTGAACCAATGTCTAGAAGAATTCCAAGGAGGGTTTGGTTAGGGTACCAAAAATCAATGGGTCTCCTCGTGGGTGGAAATCACACCTCCTCCAGGTTCTGTACTCGTTAAATTTCATCAATTTTACCGTCTTTTGGCATTTCTATTGATTATTTTCACTGAATTTGCGAAGAATTAGAGTTTGATTCTGATCTTGTTTAGTACCCAGATCCCATTAAATTGTGGGTCAGGCTTAATTGCTGAAATAACTGCTGTAATTTTCCCCAAATTTGTGCTTCGAATTGTTGAAAATCGATGATAATTATGGGTGGGGTGCATAATTTCGGGGGTTTGAAGGCTGTGAAATGGCAAGCACTTCATGGGTCATTAGCCAGACGATTGGCGATCCGAACTTTAATGGTTGCTCTTGTCATTTCCATGTTGCCCCTTTTGCAACTTGTGATTGATTTTGATCCTGCAAAACCCATGTATTTGAACACTGATGGATGTAACACTGAATTGGGTTATTTCGGCCTGAATTGGATTGTCGGCCGGGTTCTTAAACCCATTGCTCCATTCGCATTGCCACATCTGAGATCTGAAATGTGTCAAAATAATGTAAATTTGACTATTGATGTGGTTAGGGAGCTTATGGGTAAGAATTTGCTGAATTATGGATCAAAAGCTCTTTGTATTGGGCAGGGGACAGCATCGGCTGTTTCAGCGTTGCGTGAAATCGGGTTTTTGAATGTTGAGGAGATTCGGAGGCACCCTTTTTTCATGCTTAAGCAAAAGCAAGTTGTTTGTGAGCTTGATTTCGATGACAATTCGTTTGATTTTGTCATTGCGAATGACCTTAGTAAGGTCTCGGTTCCTGCTGTCCTTGTGAACGAAGTTGAGCGCATTCTCAAATCCGGTGGGATTGCTGCTATTACAGTGGATAGTGATGGTTCCAATCACGATAGTTTGATTAGGTCAGCAACTACAGTGTCGTCGTTTCTCAAAAGATCCAGTGTGATTGATGTTGTGAGCTTGGGCAGCTTTACTTTGGTTGCTTTTAAGAAAAGGGGTAACAAGCTAGGTTCTTTTGAGCAGTATCACCTACCGACAAACTGTCCCTCTATCAAGCGCAACAAACCCCTCATGAACAAAATTGAACCTTTAGTTGACAAGAAGCCCATGGTACACAATAAGAAAATTGAGTATCTACCTAATTTGGTCGGTGTACCCCTGAAGGGTAAAATGGTTTATGTCGATATGGGTGCAAAAGAAGCTGCAAATTTTAGCAATAGCAATTGGTTCTTGCCGTCATACCCTATTGATTCAAAAGCTTTTAGTGTTTACATTGTCGATCATGATGCCTTGGTTATGTCTTCCCATGTGAAGTGCCCTGGTGTTACCTTCATCTATCACCCAGCGTTGGGTGGAAGTGTTGTTAAAGATAAATCGAACACATTCAATGATGGTGAGCCACTCCTAGATGATGAAGATTTCGATTTCCTTGTTTGGTTCAAGGAAACTGTAGAACTTGCTGATTTCGTGGTCTTAAAGATGAATATGGGAAAGGCTGAAATGAAATTTCTCTCCGAACTGTTTGAAAGTGGAATCATTTGCTCTGTTGACGAACTGTTTCTGCAGTTCTCCAATGCTGATTATGAAGATAGTGCTGCTATTGGTGAAAGCCATATCAACCTCTTTAAGAACCTGAGGAGCATTGGTGTATTTACCCATCAATGGTGGGGCAACTAAATTATCAAAAGTTTCAGTAAGCTCGTGTTTTGCCCATCAATGGTGGGGCTGTTAAATTATTAAAAGTTTCAGTAAGCTCGTGTTCTGATTTCAGCATTTAATAAAATGCCTCCGACCTCTTAGTATATTGAGGCGATGTTGTGTGGTAAACTTTGTATGATGTAGTTTAACCATTGTGTTGACCATCATTATGTAATGTGTATCTGCAATCTGTAAATGGTTGAGATGTTGATGTATGAGGTGCATTCTCTTATTTGTGCTGTTGCAGGTTGATGTGGGATGGCCATTTAGCGCCACAAGCAGTCTTTGAGACGCTATATAAACGGAGTACTAATTAATTTGCTTAACAAATTTTTAATTAGACAAAGTTAGTCACATTAGAAAAGTTCGAGCCACATTAGGTTAGTAAAAGTAAGTTCAACCCAAATTACCAAATATATATTGTGAAAATTTTGTTTTTCTGGACAAGTTTGAACATTTCATCAAAGGAACAAGTTGACAAGATAAACATAGTAATCACCAATATGTTATTCAAACTTTACTATATTACTTACAATTAACCCCATCAACTTATGTGTGGAAATAATTTTAGTGTCAAATACTCGTTCATTCCTTTACACAAGGCACTTTTGATACATCACTTTTTTTTTTCTTTTCTTCTTTTTTTTTTTCAGGATAAAAGAGCAACAAAGAGCTCTACAATTAAATATATAGAAATCGTAAAAGTAAAAAAATAAAAACAAAAAAAAAAAAAAAAAAAAAAAGGAAAAAATTGGCAGCAACCAATCTGAAGAAGTCAATAACCATTAAGCTACTCAGTTGCTCGTTTCTTCTTCATTCCCATTATTGACTTTGATCTCCAGAAGCCTCTCAACTGGTTGCCGGCATATGGGGCAACGGTTAGTCTGAAACCTCAAAACTTTTGCACATCCACTACACATACACTGCAAAAGGAAAACGGCGCAAACTTCAGTACCCAAAGGCCGACAAATAAAAGTACTGTAATTTATATGCGGTCAATTGTGGTATTTGGAGGCAAGCACACGGCATATTGGCATCCCTGGCTCAATCCAGTACCCAAAACAAGAATATCCCACACCAAGTTCATACAAAAAAAGATAAGCTTGTGAGGGTATTGTGTGATTGCCACCAGGCTGTGTGAGGCAGGCATGCCTTAAAAAAATAGAAATTCATTGCAATGGTCTTGTGTAGCTAAGGTACTAACTAGAAAGAAAAGACAATTACCATATGCCGGCATGGGAGAACTGTTGTATCTCTAGGCTCTGATAAGCAGATAACACATTCTTTTCCAGGGTCATTTCCATCAAAATCACTTTCAACCGAGTTCCCTATTCCATATATTTCTTGTAGCTCGTACCTCATCCCATTAACCCACAGAATCTGCTTAAGCACCTTCACTTTATATTCCCCTTTGTCTTTATCAAATACTGCTTGAGTTATCTGAGAGTTTGTGCTGCCAGGAACAGGCTCTCCATCAGCATCTGTTAGATTAGCTGGGCAGGCATCCGCCTTTATCGCTAAAGGATATACATCTACATCCTGGAGTAATTCAGCCTCCTCAAACATAGAAAAGGCAATCCCAGTTCCAGAAGGCTGTATGAAGTTTTGGCCTAAGCCTTGCTCAAAGTGTACAATCACCGGAGGGAGAATGCTTTCTTTCGTTGGTGTCAGCTTGCAATTTTCACCTTCCTTTGCAAAGAATATTATAGTTATGCTGTTTCCAGAAACCACAATAAGGGAACATTGTCAGTTCATAATAGGGTGATGATATCATTGGATAAAATAAAAGTTTAAGATCCTTGAGGAACAGATTAAAGAATAATGATACGTGACAGTCAACTTTCTGTTCCACCTTAATTATTTGAGTTTCCTCCATTGACTAAATTCATCAACTAAAGCAAAGACAGTACACAGAAGAGTAAAATAAGGGCAGGTTTAACTAGAAATACTAATTTTAGATATAGTACACTTCTACTCTTCCTTAAAGCTTTTTGGAGACTATATTAAGAATGTGGTGCCTATTTTAATTGACAGAATACAGGAAGAAATAATGTTGCCTATTTCTAGAGGAAAAGATGTGCATATTTAGAGTTCTGATGTCAATGGAAGAATCTGTAACAGGTTTTCAGAGCAGAATGTATTTGTCTGGTAACACCATTCTTTAACAAGAGCACATCAAGCAGAAAAATCAAAACATATCTAAATAAACTAAGATTTCATAGTGGTTAGTCAAATTCCCTTTTGAAATGACAAAACTATTCTGCCTTCATCATTAATTACCCATCACCAATACCATCAAAACTGTCACAAAAGAGGTCAATAATTGGCATCTGGATTGAATTTCTGGGACCATTCCATCCCAGCCCAAAGCACACAATGCCTTAAAAGTCAGTCAAATTCCTTGCAACTCTCATACATGGAATTTTAAGCCCAACCATTATACACCTGCGTCACTAATACGAAGGAATAAAAAATTAAAAATGAACTACTTTTCTCAGGCCATTACCTGGACCATGTTAGTACGTCTTATTCAAATTTCTCCATTTATATCACCAACCATGAAAATAAGTTTACCTCTCAAAGAAAAAGTTAATAAATAAAATAAGATACTCAACAGCCCCACCTCACCCCCAGCAGCTTTTAATAGAGGGTATAACAAGTACACACTGTTCATTTGGTCTTAAAATAAGGGCCTTCCACTATATAATATTAAAAGTCTTAATTCTTTAGTCTTTAGCACTCTGTTCTACATTATCTACTGGGCTTTTCATGGGGATATTGCAGATGTGAGATGTTTATATTTAAATCTTAGCGTACAATAGATAAAACTCTTGTCTTGAGCAATCTACTATCAAACAGAAGATTGAAGTCTAAAAACCTGAGGGATGTTTTGTTTTTTTTTGCTTTTTTTTGTTTTTGTTTTTTGGGACTTTTTTAAGAATGTCAGAACAAAGTACAAAGAGAAGCCAAGGTGTCCAAACAAAGTAACTGAGAAAAACACTACCACAAATTAGCCCAATTATTTGGAATCTACTATAAAGGAAATTTTGAGAAAACCCCAACCACCATAGCTCATAAATAAGAGAAGCAGCAGGCTTTAGCTTAGAGTGACTACATTATTTTATGAGCTTCAACAACAAAGCTGAAGAGTTTTTTGGTCACTCTTGTAAAGGGTGAGGATAGAGTGTGGAAATCACTATGCTGCAAGCAGAACAACAGTTTTTTATAAGCAAAGCTATGAAATGTATGAACAATATGTGACTTCCACTAACTGTGAAGACTGAAGAGTATATGTAATACAGCCACAACTGCCGAGTACAAGTCTCCAAAAACAGGGTCGAAGGAGGTTTTAATGTACACCAGCCTTGACCCTACCTTAATACAACAATCCAAAGGCTGTTGAAAAGGCCACTTCCAATAGGTCCAAGAGAGTATTATTTCCACATTTGGGGTCCCAAAAGGGACTCAAAATATTAAATGTAAGTAGCTTATATTTTGGAAAACGGTTAGGAAAAACGTACAAATGAATGATAATGACAGCAATTACATTAATAGCGATAACAAATAGAATGACAACCTAATGTCAGGGAAAACTATGATAACAACCAATAGTTACATTGGAAAAAGAGCAATTGCACAGAAAGACTGGATAAATCACTATACGAATAATGACAGCAATTTCATTAATAGCGATAACAAATAGAATGACAACCTAATGTCAGGGAAAACTATGATAACAACCAATAGTTACATTGGAAAAAGAGCAATTGCACAGAAAGACTGGATAAATCACTATACGAATAATGACAGCAATTTCATTAATAGCGATAACAAATAGAATGACAACCTAATGTCAGGGAAAACTATGATAACAACCAATAGTTACATTGGAAAAAGAGCAATTGCACAGAAAGACTGGATAAATCACTATACGAAAATTGAAGGAATAGGCACACAAGATAACAGAAACATGGAATTATCATTCCACAAAAATACCAAGCATCTATGCATTGTTAAATACTCGTATATTGTTAGACTATTCTTTCAGGAAAAAAAAAAAAGTTGTATAATATCATTAATCACCATAACTTTAACTCCAGAGTTATTTACAGATGCAGCAAGTCTTACTGCCTACTCGAATATATTAGAAATATCACTATTATAAAGACTTTAAATTCCAAACTGCAAAGAAACTTCAAAGAAACTAATAGCACATTCAGGCTATAGGAGAGAAAAGCTTCAATGAATGGTAGCAACGATGATTAAATGCTACTAGTTGAAGAGGATTCCTCCTGTAAAATAACAGGAATGCTTCACATATACAATGACATTTCTGCTGCTCTAATCACAGTAATGGATCTGATAGTTGTGCATGCTGAGAATCCATAAAGCTCAACTGAGCAGTTCTAATCCGACTGGCTTTAAGGTTCAAATTTTCAATTTCGAAAAAAGATGAAGGGTAGGACACACTTCTCAAATCACTCTAAATAAAGTAACTAGAGCTAATGGATAGACCTAGTTTCAATCTCCTCCTCTAAATTACTTTCACATCATGGTGATCATGCACCTATATTCAATTGCTGAATAACAAATCACTAAAGTTGCCGACCAAACTTATCAACTCAAAAAAACATTCAAAAGGCTTCACCAATCTTAGCACTCATAGCTCATATAGAGGATTTGTTTACCTAAACTCAAGTAAGACAACCAACTAACAATCACTATACAAGAATACATAACATAAGGTTTTGCACAACTGAAAATTGGGGGAGCTTCAACACTGTATAAATCAGATCAAATCATAATTAGAAATGTTCAAAGAACATGCAGTATAATTATGATAAAACAGCATACACATCAAAAAATGAAACATAATAAGTACATAACTTATGTTAGACTCTTCAATTCACGTCTCAACACACCGACACGAGCATGGACACTAATACACTTCATAACCTAGCATCCGAGTTCAAGATACATAGATTATAATAAGAAAATAACAATCATCAACACAATTTCATAACAAAACATTAAACTAAACATACATAATATAATTCATATCATAATCAAAACCAACACCAATCAAGAATTAGACGAAAAATTAAATTAAAACAAAACCCCAGAAAATATATTATACCTTCCAGCAACAGTAGCATCAAAAGTGAAGGCAACAAGAAATTTGCCAGGATTCTCAGAATCACGCTCAACCCTCAAACTCTCCTTCTTCAAATTCACATCATTCCTAATAGTAACCGCCTTTTGATGTTCAATATACGGCGTAGCCGGAGGCGGGATCATGGGTCCATAATGGTACCTCCCAGCAGTCCAATTAGCATGATGGTGGCCCTGGTGGTGGTGATCATACGGTGCTGGCAACGGCATCGCCGAAGAAAGGGCTGGTGGTGGAGGTGGATAATATCCGGGAGCCGGTGGATGATACTGGTAATAGCCCGTTGAAGGAAACGGTGTTGCCGCCGCGAAAACGTACCGATTGCCGGTGATCTCCGGTTGCGGTGGCTGAGGTGGCGGTGGAGGTGGTGGGGCTGGTGGGTGGTTTCGACGGCTGTTTTGACGCCGTCGATTTCCACCGTTTCCGCCACTGCTTCCGACGTTACCCATGATTAATTTCTGTAATTTTATTTCGTGAAATTATGAAAATTAAAAAATAAAATAAAAAAAAAAAAAAAAAAAAAAAGAACCCTAAAAATTGGGGAATAATTAGGGAGAATTATAGGTAGAGGAAAACAATAAAATTGTGGGGTTTCAAGAAGAGAGTAGTAGCACTCTAACAAGAGTGATCGGACAAGAAGAAAAGAGAGAAGAAGTGGAGGGAACAATCGGCATTTTTATAATTTTGATATTAATAAATTTATAATAATAATATTAATGTTGGTTGAAAACTTGGTAATGGTGGTGAAGTGGGGTTGCTTTATATGGAGTATTATGATATATTATTGGAATTTGGTTTGATGATTTTAGGGAAGAAAACACTTTTATGAAATGGGTATTTGTCTGTTTACCTTGTTGGGTGGAGTGAACAGTTTTTTGGTGTTGGGAATTACCTGGAATGATAATTTGGAAATTTGCTACTTGCCTGTTTCATCCATCATTGTCAATTTTCTTTGTGTATGATAGAATAGTTTGCTGTTAGCCTGTTATACGAGAATTGATAGAGAGAGGAGGTGGTAGAGTCGTAGAGGTGATGATGATTTGTATGGACTTTGGGCTATTCAATGTGATATGATGAATTGATTCAATTTGAGTTTGAGTTTGGGTTTGTGTTTGTGTTTAGTTATAATAATAATAATAGGTTATTAGTAATTTGTAATTTGTACTTTGTATTAACCTCGTGGATTCATGGGGTGTTAGAGTTAGCAATCCTAAAAGTCCAACACGGATGATACGACTAGAAGATATGAGGCGGGTTTGACTTTGGGTTGTGAAGGAACAAGCACATGAACAATAAGAGGTTCACGGGAGATGGGGGTATCCAACTCCATCGCCCTACTTGTGGACAACTTAGGTGTGTCATGGTGACACAATCGAGTGTTTTGACACTAGCGGGAGACGATTGATTCATGCTTTTTGACAAGAGCGGGGATCAATGATGGTCGATCGTGGCTTGTGATGGTATAACTAGGTTCAAAGATAAAATTTATTGGGTTTAGCTCTTTTAAGAATAATTTATCTGTTTTATTAGACTATAGGATTGAAGCAAGAGGCCAGGCGATAATAGGGGGAGATATTGGATTTCATTAATTTTTTTCTTAGAAGAACTTTAATTTTTTGGTATTCCATTATTTTCTAGTGAACATAGGATTTAAAAAACATAATAATTTCTACTAAGTCATTTAAGTAAAAGCCCTAGAATACACGAAATACATTCCAAAGGATTTGGATTCTAACACATGGCCTACCTACGGCTAGAATCCAAGAGATGATTTCTTGACTCAATTTCTTTATTAGCTTGGTTCATATAAAACTTGTGGTTTCTTGGCTCAAATTTTTTTTTTTTTTCCTTTTTTGAGGAATTATTGTATTTTTAGTTCAGAATACTTGTTGAAGGGATAGGGTTATAGAGTATTTATATCATGAGTCTATCTTTTGTAGGAAAAAAAGTACAAGAGGGGTCAGGGTGGGGGTGCGCGAGGGGGAGGAGATTACAAACACTTTTAGGTTTCTGAGTCTATCTTTTGTAGGAAAAAAAGTACAAGAGGGATCAAGGTGGGGGTGCACCGGGGGGGGCGTGGATTATAAACACTTTTAGGTAATTTTTAGGCCAGATTAAAGTTTTGAGGATTATGGTGGGTTGCTATTCAAAAGATGTTATGAGGGTTATTTGATCAACAAATTAAGGTTTATGGTTTTTTCTCCTACTAGTTTGTGAGAGAATTTTTAGCATAAAATATCATTTCTATCTCTCTCTCTTTCTCTCACCTTTTTTTTTTCTTTTTTTTTTAGGAATCTAATTGTCTCTTAATTTCTACTCCTTTAATTTGTTTATATAATCTTATCATTTAAAAAAAAGATGTTTATATAATCTTGTATATTGTTTGTGCTTACACCTCTCCTAATTGCAACATCAAGGAACACAATGAGTTTTAGGCACTCCGAAATTGTACAGAAATGACATTAAATAAAAATAAATAAATACTGCAAAGATAGTGGACAAAAAATCATTGTGTCTGAAATAGAAATAAAAATAGAATGTAATTCTACAAAATAGATTTATGAAAAAAAACATTTATAAGAAAATTATGTATTTTTTTTTGTTTTTCATTCTTGTATGTTAGTTTAAATTTATTATGATGTGTTTGTTCAATTTTTCCCTTGTCCCATTTGATGCAGGGTCAATTTCACATATTAATTCTACAGCTCTCAAGCGCATTCACACATGCTAAGGTGAGACGACTTAACTTATAGGATGCATAAAATAGCATAATACACAAAATATCAAAAAACGCAAGTTCGGGCTAAAAGGATACCGACTTTATAGTATTAGATTTTACTAACTGACAATCAATGCAAAAACATTAATCGTTGAAAGAAGTGTGTGAATTGTGTTGCGAATTTCTGATGTCTTATTCTTGATCACCTCTTCTACTAGAATATAGGTTCATCGTCAGTCCCATGTTGAGGACAAAAATCACCAACATGGCCTTGATTAGCTACTCCCAATGGAATAAGCGAATATAAGCTTTGAGGATATATAAGAATCGTAATGAACATTGACCATAGCCTGAGCTACAACTGCTAGCATAGTCTTGAGGAGTAAATTCATAATAAGAGGTGACATAACTATTTAGGGTAAAAAATACCCTAACACGTTGCCCAATCCTATAGAGACACGTGGCCCAATTAAAGGGCGACACATGTCCCTATAGGAAGATGACACGTGTCAAGCATAAAGAGCACCTGAAATGAGAGTAAAGGGCCTCCTTACATCAAGAGGCCCAAGTATCGAGAAAGCCGCAAAACGGCGCCCCATATGGACACGTGCCTTTACCCAATTGCGCCACCAATTAGAGCACGCCATCCTAGGTTATCAAACCCTAGAGGGCACACTTTTTCACCCCTATAAATACCCTTATCATTTATGATGGGAGGGGGGATTATAATATATCATTTTAAGGGCATTAAAAGCTCCAACTTCTCTTTAATTTCTCTCTCTAAATTTATTCCGTTTCCGGTCACTAACTTGATCGTCAGAGGCGAATATTCCGTCAACTGGAATATTCGTTATTTTGCAGGTGTCTGCGTCCATCCGACCGTATTCAAGACCAGTATTCAGAGGGATTCCAAAAAACCCCGAAACATTTGGCGCCATCTATGGGGATACTCGTCTGAAATGGATAAAGATGGTCAGACACCCGGTCTTGGTGAGGACGGACATGTAGAGAATCTCATTTCTACAATCAACACCAACGATCCTCTGACTGCTGGTTCCTTGAAGGCCGCTTTGAGAAAGCTTCGAAGGGAGCTTGAGAGTAAGACCCCTTCTTCTTTTAGACAGCCATCCAGAAGGGAAGGAGAAGGTGCTCAAAAGAAAACTTAGAGCAAGGCGATCAATGATGAAGATGCTGGGAATACCCCATTCGGACGACATGCAAAGTCACCAAGGGTGCCTCGGATAAACTTGTCCATGCTCCTTGAGAAAACGTAGTCAGCTGGGGGCAGATCGGGCAGCCTCTGAGGCAACCAACTGAGCCGTTCCAACGCTGGAAGGATGCGAGGGATTGTCTCCGGTACAAGCGGCAGGAGCGGGCACACTACTCGGACACTGCCTCTACTCCTACCATGCCGGATGATTTCTCAAACCACACCCTCTCCAAGCATACCAGCTCGGCCGGGACTAGTAGAAGTCAAACTCATCGTACTCCAACTCCAGTTCCTCTAACTCAACTACTCCAACACAAGATGCCCCAGAATTATGGCACAATTCTACTGCCTACTCCACCTGTCTTTGGATAGTACAGGCAGTATGGCCAGCCATACGACCAGGCAACTTACCTGGGTGGACCGGCTGCACAACCTCAGCCCATTGATTATTAAATGCGCTTGTTGAATCTTGGTGACAAGCCGCCTCCGTTTTCTTAAGAAATTCTCAAATCTCCCCAACTAGCAAAAGTGAAGAGTGTACTTGTGGGTGCCTATGATGGTACGGGTAACCTAGAAGAGCACGTCACCTCGTATCAGAACTTGATGTACCTACAAAGTGTAGATGATGGCACTTGGTGCAAATGCTTTCCGGCCACCCTCAAGGGTGTGACACAAGACTGGTTCAACAGTCTGCCGGCCGGATGCATCAACTGTTTTACAACTCTCAGTCTATTATTTGTTGGAAACTTCTCCTATAATATTCCACTCAGGAAGACTAGTCTTAACTTGGCGACCATCGTCCAAGGAAAGAAAGAGGGGTTATGCTGGTACGTCTAGAGGTTTAATCAGGAGAAAGATTAAATTCAGAATTTGCCAGATGAAATGGCCTACTCGGAGTTCCTTCGAGATTTAAGGCATAATGGTTTCAAGTTAGACTTGGTCAGGAAAAAGATTCGGACACACACAGGTGTTCTGCAGGAGGCCGAATCATATATAGAGGTAGCTGATTTTTGTTCTTTTACAAAATCAAAAGAACCAGCCAAGGGGGCCGAGAAGAAACAACCTTCTCGGCAAGACTCGGCCGACAAAAAGAAGGAAGGAAGCAACAAAAGAAAAGAAGTCTGGGTGGGAGACTACCAATAGACGAAATAAAAGAAATCCAAACGAGCCCCAGTATGAGTACAACAAGGATTGTTATTCAATCTTGATGGAGATTAAAGACAAGTTAGAGTTCGAGAAGCCTAAGCCTTTGTGAGGGCCGGCCCAGTATAGAAACAAGAACAAGTACTGTCATTACCACAAAGATGTGGGGCATGACACGAATGGCTGCAACAATTTGAAGAGGTTTTTGGATAAGTTCGTCGTGAAGGGCATGCTCAACTCGTACATTCTAAAGTCCAAGTTCACCTACTCTCGGATAGACAAAAAATTCAAGAAGAAGAAAAATAAAGAAAAAGATGATGATGGAAACAACACAAACTCAGGGTTTTTGGCCATCATATCAGGCGGCTTTGCTGCAGGCAACCCTACCATGAAGGGAATCAAGTAGGATGCTTGGAATTTTGAAAATGTAATGCACACTGAAGGGGTAAAGGCCGAGCCCTTTCTTGAAGTGATGGTCTACGAGACGGACTGAGGCAATATCAAAGCCCCTCACAATGACCCCATGGTGTTCATCTTGAAAGTCGCCAATTTGAAAGTTAGTCGCCTACTAATAGACACAGGTAGCTCGTCTGACATAATCAATTTAGCTTGTCTGAAGAATTTGAATTTTCTAGCAGACGCCCTAAAAGATATCTCCCACCCGTTGGTTGGGTTCGGTGGGAGTATCATTCACCCGGTCAGACGGATAAACAAGCCCATTCGATTTGGGGAAAAGGGAGAAGGAAGGGACATGGTCGTCCACTTCCTAGTTGTTAAAGATCTTAGTGGCTACAATG